ATATATCTTGTAATGTACTGCTCTAAAATTTTTCCTCTACTCTCATTTCATTCCATGTCAAAATTAAAAATTGCCACTTAATCTTAAAATCAAGTAATATTTTTTATTGTCATTGCTTTACTACTAAGGGTTGTTGTTATGTGCCGTGGAGTCGGTTCCGACTCAGAGACTCAGAGAGACTCAGAGACTCAGAGACCCGATATAGGGTTTCCGAGGAGCGGCAAATGAATACAAGGAGCGGCATATGAACTACAGTTTTAAAAGTTTACCTTTAGGCAGTAAAAGTACTAACGCCCGAACAGGGACTTGAACCCTGGACCCTCAGATTAAAAGTCTGATGCTCTACCGACTGAGCTATCCGGGCTCTTAGTTTTCTTTTTGCTTTGGTTCCTATAAGAGATTTATCTACATGAACGTCTGAGCTCGCAGTACCAAGTGGGAATTCTGAGTGTCGGCAGAGGACTTTCGTCAAACCAAAAAGGCGCCAGAAGAGCCTGGTTACTATAGACTTCGCATTTTTCTGTCTCTTGTTTAGATACTCCGGTAGACACGCAGACAAGGCGGCTGGAACGTAGCGGAGGCTTGGACGCTGTGGTATCTGGACTGGCCGCGCGGCGCCGCTGCCGGCTGCGGACTTCACTCGCAGAGTTCTTCCCCGATCCTGGAAACGCAGATCCCTGACATTCCGGGCGTCCCTGCTGAAGGGCTGAGAAGAGTCCTGAAGCGGGAAGAAAGTTCAGACGGGTCTTCCAGACACTATGCACCCGGAACTCGCTTCAGTCTCCCACCAACCCTACACCAGCGGAGAAACTGTGGTCGGACGTGCCAAAGCGTGGGGCTGGACTGGGAGCGTTAGTGTTGGAGAATAATGGCAGGAGAGCTGTTTCCGATCCCCTGGCGGGAAGCACACTCGGCTCGTCAGTGTGTGTCGTAGTCACATGTGATCTGTGGCCGAGTGAGGCTCACCTGTATAGTAAATCACCTGGGCGATTAACTTATGAGTGCCCTGAGTTCAGTTCTGATTGGGAACGGGGAGGAAAGGATTTAGGGAAGGTTGAGGAGTGGGAAGCTAGGGACCCAAGAGCATCGGTTGTCTTCGACTAGGCTGAGGCAGTGTTCCAGGCGTCAACAGGCTCCAATCTTGTCCCTCTCTCCCCATTGGGGCCCAGGCTTCTGATAACCATCTGGGCTGGGCCCTTTCGTGCCAGCCAGAGGGACCGGCTGTGCCAGGGGCACACAAACAAGTATTAGGACGAAAGACTGTGGGCGGGGAGAAGGATCCGAACCGCCTCCTGGGAACGAGGGCAGAGGCAGGGGAGCTTGGGGAGAGCGAGATCCCAAGAGCATCTCAGGGATAACTGGCTTTTTCCTCAGGCCCACCCTGCTCCCAGCTTTACGTCCAGCGGTCTAGCAGCCTGGCAGTATTGTACCCACCCTCACCTCCACCAGGTCCACTCTAACCTCCTCTAGGTTAGCTGCTGCTGTGGTCAGCGTTGCCAGGGTGCCTTCCTCCCTCCTTCCATCATGGCCATGTACCGCGTGTGTGTGACCACTGGCCCCTACCTGATGGCTGGTACTCTGGACAACATCTCAGTCACACTGGTGGGCACGTGCGGGGAGAGCCCTAAGCAACTGTTAGATCGTATGGGCCGGGACTTCGCCCCTGGAGCGGTGAGTACAGAAAAGGGAGGGGGAAGCAACCCCTCAAGGATAGGAGGGCAGGGAACCAGAAAGTAGAAGGGGGATCACTTCCCCCTGGATTCACCAAATCCTTCGAACTCAAGATGCCAGTCCTGTCTTTCTCACCATCCGGATACTTTCCAGAGGATGATAAATTTACATAGACTGGGCTATGAAGGGGATGGAGCACTGGGCAAGGCGTTTGGAGACCTCTTTGGCTTCCTCACTTCTCCCACAATTGATAATGGGTTTGGGGCAAGTTGTTTTCCCTTTTTGGGAAGACCTGAGTTTCCTTTTCTCTGGAAGGAAATATTTGCTGGTGGCCTACACAAGGGTGCCTGGTGGCCAAGGAGCCAGTGTCCACACAGCTGCTGCCTGGATGAAGAGGTGCCTTTCACTAATTCAAACAAAGGCGCTGTACGGGTTAATGACAGCTCAGGGTTATTTGCTCGAATAGCGCACCTTGCAAAATGTAAGGATGGCCCTGGCAGTTTCCTGTCTCTTAGGAACTTGCTCCCTTGGTCCCCTCAGGTGCAGAAGTACAAGGTGCGCTGCTCAGCAGACCTGGGTGAGCTCCTGCTGCTACGTCTACACAAGGAGCGCTATGCTTTCTTCCCCAAAGACTCTTGGTACTGTAGTCGCATCTGTGTTACTGCCCCCGATGGCACCGTTTCCCACTTCCCCTGCTATCAGTGGATCGAGGGCTATTGTACCACAGAGCTGCGACCAGGAACAGGTGGGCCAGAGGCAAAGGCTGGACAAACTATGCTGGGGAAGGCAACTGCTGGAATTAGGGTGGGGTCTCACAGAGCCCAGGGTGTAGGGAATAGCGTAGGATTAGGATAGCTGGAACTCTGGGTTCCCAAGTAGATGCATTTTGGGAAAAACAACCCTCTAAATTCTTGTAAATAGGAGGAATTAAAAACACACACACACACACACACACCTTATTACTCCCCTGGAAACAGACACGACATGCACTGATACACATACTCATTCAAGCATGGTGTTGTTAGATGACAGTGAGTCAGTTCTGACTCAGAATGACCCTGTATAGTGTTTCCCAGGAGTGCCTGGTGGATTTGAGCACTAGACCCTGAAGTTAGCAATCCAGGGTTTATCCTACAGGGCTCCCATACAAACATAGACACACAAACTCCCATACTTCCATAGGAGCACACTCATAGACAGATACACCAACACATAAGCATACTCATCCAGAAACACATGAGACACAAAGTAGTATTTCCTAGAGTTAATTCCTCGGGAACCCAGAGGGAAGTCCTGGATGTTTAGAGAATTCAGCTAGAGAGGTCTCATCTGCTACTACTAGCTCTTCCAGTGTGGATGAAGTCCCCTACCAGATGCTGCCAGGGTCCCGTGTGAAATCTGTGGCGCCTTTAAAGCATGTTGAACTTAAGTTGTTAGGGCCCCTTCAGCCACTGAGTCCTCATGTTTCCTAAGCTGTTTGATTCTGAGTGTTGAAATGAATCTTAAGGATGAGTGGTGGATGTTCTAGGTCAAGGTGAGGCAAGCCAACACTAACTTTCAAGCAATAGTGAGGAAGATCACTGTGACTCACCATATCACATCCTTTCATTCCTTCACAAAATGTATTTATCAGTTATTCATCATGTTTATCAGCCATGCATCAAGATGTTGGATACCAGGCAGGATGCTAGATGCTGGGAACACAAAAATGAATACAATGCATCTTCTGCCTTTACTGAGGTTATAGTTTGGAAAGGAGACACACATGCAAACAA